ATAAAATTAATTTTAGGGTATATCTAACCCGATATCTAACCTCATTTCTAACCTAGTCACTCCGTGACTCTGAGCCCATAGGGCTCTCGCCGCTTAGTGGCTCAGACCCTTTGGGTCTCATGAATTTTCTTATAAAGTTGCGATAGTTGAATTCAGTAACTGAGCCTCAAGGAAGAAAACATCCTTTCCGTCTTCGGGTAACACAACGGGGCATTTATGATCATGTGTAGAATACATATCAATCCAAAACTCTCTATTATTTCCTGATAACTTATAATATTTAATATTTGTTAATGGCGTCGATCTAGTATGACCGATAAATTCATTTTCAACCCCTTTAGCGATATTTGAATATAAGATGACTTGTTTTCTGTCCCATGCATTATATGTTATTATTGGTAATAATACTGTTCGTTCTTCTCCTGGTTTATAATTAAATACATTCATGAAGTCTTCATTATACTGAGAAATTTTAAAACCTATCCTAAAATCACTTTGTCTCTTTTCTGCTATTTCATTAAACGGTGAGTATATAACAAATGTGCATGTATGTGAATCATCTATTTGTTCAATAAATTCATAATGAAAGTCTATAATTTGTGGTTGAATTCCTTCTTCTTTTAATTTATCAAGATACACATTTAATCCTAAAGCGTTTTTGTTAAATTTCTTTTCGAAAATTTCGTTAAAATCACTCATGCATTCATATAATGTTGTGTCGTCTTTGAAATATTTATATATGTGAATAGTTTGCTTAAATTCTTGAGTTTCGTTTATAACAACAACTTCGAGCTCAAATTCAACCTTTCTAAATCCTCGTGTTATATACATACTTGATAAACCAATATATTTTTCGTTTATATTAACAGACCAGTCAATAGGTAATTTAAATGTGATTCTATTTCATTTATTTTAACATTTTCGTCTTCAGAACTAAAAGCAACTGTTAAAGGTACTTGTCTATACATTTATTACAAACAAAAATATATCATTTATTCTTTCTTCTCAATGGATTCAGCCTTTTCCTTCTCCGCCTTTTCTTTAGCCTCACGTTCTCTTTTTGCTTTCATTCGCGGGTTCTTCTCTCTTCCTGCAGCTAATGCGGCTAACTGCTTTTCACTTAATTTCCTTTTTGGTTTTTCTGGTTTTTCTTCTGTTTTTGATGTCTTTAGTTCTGTTAATATCTGCTCACGAATTTCTTTTTTGAACAAAAGAAACAAATTCCTCAACTAAGAAGAAGAGTTAGAATATTAAACTAAATAAATATTTTTATCTAACATAAAACATGCAAAACGAACAGCTTAACGAATTTACACCAGCTGAACATATCCATCAAATTCGTTCATATTTTGATGTAATCGATAATGCAATTAATATTGGTGATAATAATAGAAGATATATCGATGCTAAAATTCCATCACAACCAGGAAGCGCAAAGGATCATAACTGGGTCACATTCAATTTATCTCCGCCAGGTGAAAATATGCTAGACCTTTATAACACATTCCTTACAACTACCTATAAAAGTAAATATATCATTGATAATGCTATTACTGGCTCATCAATTCCAAATACTAATTCTCCATGTTTCTTTGGCGTTTTTGATGAATCAATTTACACCATTAGCGCTTATCAGTTATTAGCAAATGGAAGAGTTATTTATAGTCAGGATAACGCAAGAGAAGAAGCATATATCATTTCTAATTCACAGACTACAGAACAAATAAAGAAAGTTGATTTTTTCTCAAAAACGAGACATAAAGATGTATGAAAACGTTCTGGAACAGTTCGAACAGGTCAAATTATCTCAGGACCTTTAGCTGCAGGCGCTGAAATTAATTTTGACATTAAAATAAAGATTCCATGTCGTAAATTCCTTATTCTAGAAGTTATTAGATTTATTCCTGCTTTTGCAGGCAACATTCAGTTAAAGGTTAAATTTAGTAGCGATGCATTCCAGGTAACAGCACTGCCGGTAGAAGATATTTTAGCTCATAATCCTTCTTTAATCAGTCAGGTAAAAGATAATTATGACCCACCAACTAATAAATTTGTTCCATGGAATGAACCATTCAATATGATAACAGCAGTTTCTAAATCAAATGGTGAAATTACTGTTTCAACAGTTGAACAAAGATTAACGAAGAAATCAGCTGAATTCATTGATTGCTTCATTCATCCGAAAGCATTTTCACTCGATCCAAATATTTACAATGAATTAGTCGATCATTATACATCACAAGCTTTATGTTTTCCAATTAAAGTAATGGACTGGATTCCTATGGACGGTTCGTTCAGTAAAGGTTCACCATCAGCAATGTTCACAGCAGCTTATACACCAATTAACGTTAAAAGCATTTGGGCTTTATTTAGGAAGAATGATAATTATATCGTGAATTTCGAAAATCCTCAATTTGAAACCCTTCAATTATCAATGGGCGCTTATGGAAGTATGCCAGCTGAACCCGAAAGCTCTTATGGTCCTGTGTTCTATGAAATGGTTGCTAATGCATGCAATACAAATAACGATATGATAGGATTTAATGAAGATGTGATGAGGTCGTTAATTGATGATGGAAGCGTTAAACATTTATATGAATCATACGATAACACTCATTTCCTCTGTGGATTCCCGACTGAAACTGATTTCACATTTCAACAGGGTCAAACATCAACGGCACCAATTACTTATAAATTAGCTGTTAAAGCTGATGATACAAATATAAGCGAAAAATACACTGTCAAACCTTTATTAGGATTTCTTAGAAATGCTTGTTTCGCTATTCAAGTTAGACCAGCCGGCATCCCTGCTGTTAGAATTGATGATTATAATTTAGCTGCTGATGGAGGTGAAGAGTAAAAAAATAAATGTAGTTAATTTTTAATTTTCTGATTTTTTTATTTTTATAAAACGATGGAAAATAACTGGGAAACATTAGTAGCTGATGAAGATTATGAAATAAACACTGAATATCCGTATCAAATAAGAAGGAAGAAAAACGGAAAGACTGTCAGTGAGTATGAAGAAAAGAATGGATATATAAGATTAACCCTTAACGGTAAAAAATATCTTAAACATAGATTAATAGCTATTCAGTGGATTGATAATCCTGATAGTTTTGGGGAAGTTGACCATTACGATAAAGTTAGAAATAATAATAGATTGATAATCTACATTGGTGTTCAAGTTCTACAAATAATAGAAATAGAAGTAAAGCAAATGGAGTAGAATATAATTTCGTTGATGAAATCAGTGAAAATTCAATTACTGTTTCACATTACGGAAATCATGAATTTGAGGATTTATTTTACGACATCGATGCAGATTTGTTTTATTATTATAACGGTCGTCAGTATAAAGAACTATACATTAATGAAAACATAAATGGTTCATTATATGTTAACGTTTATGATGTAAATAACAAAAGAACGTGCATTACATATAGTAAATTCAAACGCTTACATAATTTAATATGAAAAGTTTATTTTTGTCTTGAACGATAAAAATAAATCTAGTTAATTTTTTATTTTTCATATTTTTTTATTTTTATATAAAGATGAGCTGGCAAGCACTCGAACATGATAGCGAATATGAAATTTTCACTGAATTTCCTTATACTATAAGAAGAATATCTAATAAAAGAGTTTGTGAATTTGACGGGATGGTTATATTTGTGTTAATCTTAACAAACATAAACTATTTAAACATAGAATAGTTGCTGAAACTTTCATTCCTAATCCTGATGGGCTTCGTGAAGTCGATCATATAAATAGAGATAGAGGAGATTATCACATTTCAAATTTACGATGGACTTCGAGAAAAGAAAACATGAGAAATATATCTGGTTCTAATGGTTATTGGTTTGATATTATTGATTCACTCCCTGAAGACGCGGTTGAAATCATTCAATATTCAAAAAAAAATTTTTACCCTCTGGAAAAATTAGGTTTTCCGAGTGAAGATTCATTTTATTATTTCATGGGAACTCAATATAGAAAATGCAATGTTTTGAGACAGGGCAATAATGAATTTATTAACATTACTGATGTAGAAGGAAGAAGAACAAAATTATCTATTGCAAAATTTAAGAAAGATAATGGTTATCTCGTAAACGAAAAAGGGGATTTGACGGAGTCAAATCCCCGCTCACAAAAAGTGGACTTTACATGTCAAATTTTATATGCATGTAATGTCCACTTTTATGAGTTTTAGGAAGGAATTGGAAGCCATGAGTTACTGACATTGCATCAGTATCTCATAGCCTCCAATTCCTTCTAGAAAGTGTCCAAACTTTGGGTTACTTGCAAACTATTAACCCAAAGTTTGGACACTTTCAAGTGGAGATGGAAGGCTTTGGGGTATATATTAATACAATATACCTCAAAGCCTTCCATCTCCACTACAAATGGGAGAAACTTTGTCAGAATAGTTTAACATTCGGACAAAGTTTCTCCCATCTTTCAATGTAATTGCTACCTGTGAGGTACTGACTTGAAGTCAGTGCTTCACAGGTAGCAATATCCAAAAATTTAAAAACATTTTATCAGTTCGTTAGAGAACTAGAGCCTCCTAGGTACTGAACCAGAATCAGTGCCTAGGGGACACTAGTGATCTATATAAATCTGAGAAACTTTGAGGAAATTGTTCGACATTTCCTCAAAGTTTCTCAGCAATTTAGCGAGGAATGTTCGTTATTATGTAGATATTTATAATATATACATGATAACAAACATTCCCCGCTAAAAGATGTAAAATCTTATAAGAAATAATTGCAAAAGAATAACAAATTGCAACAAATTTTATATGAAACTGAACCTTATGAGGTAGTGATTCAAGATCACCGCCTCATAAGATTCAGTTTCAATCTCAAGTATCTCAAAAGTAAGGCTCTATTTTTTGCCATGTAAAGTGTCGCTTTTCTGTCAAACCGTTTTTATCGTTTTCGTTTACAACAGTTATATATAAATGATAAAAATAATGATATCATATATTTTTGTCATTAATGACTTCCAAACTTTAATTTCCTGATGAAAGTATTTTTGGTATTTATTGTGAAGTTAAACTTGTTTTCAAAACACGGTACGGTTGATTTGCATAAATCAAATGCTATCTCTTCTCTATCATGCAATGCTTCATATAATTTCATTATTGAAAATTCAGAGTCTTTATCATAAGTTCCAGTTGGTAAATGAATGTTTTTGTTTTCATCGTAATAACATTGTACTGCATTAGGAAACATTTCATTCGCAGTAATAGAAATAACATCTTGTTTGACGCCTTTCATTCTGGCATGAAAAGCAACTTCATTTAAATCATTTGTTAATAAATCTACATAAGTCTTCTTTCCACAAAATATCGACTTATAAGCTAAACTTTGATGATTCTTAGTGATTTCGGCAAAATCTGAATGAAACTGACCCAGATTCTTTTCAATAAGAACTTTTCCATAGCGTTTCTCAAATTCTGCTGCAAGCTTTGGTATGTCTTCATTGAAGATATGCATGCTATCACAGTCCTGGTAAAATGCTTTTAATCCTAAGTCTTCAATCGTGCAAAATACTTCATTCATGATACGTTTCGACATAGATAAGATATTAACACCTAAGGGGCAAAAGTTAAAGTGTCTGCAAATGCTTTTAGTGAGTTTGAAAATAGTTTTATCCGAACCATCTAAACATTCAAATTTAATAATATGGTTATAATTTCTGATGGCATATCTTACAGCATCTTTATCATCAATGATTTTAATTTTCGACTCTATCGGGGACAAAATAGTTTTTCCATAAATACTGTTCAAAATTAATTTAATATTTTCTTGTAGCGGGTTTTCTTCCTTCTTATACTTTAATCTCAATTCAAATAGTTTCTTAACTTCATTTCGGGGCGGTGCCATGTGAGGTGAAATTTATCATATACCGATTGGACCTTTTGCTTTCCCGAAAACATAGAATTTATATTGGGGGCCGAATATATGTGCATATATCTATACTAATCAAGCCATATTTACTCATATAGTATTGAGGTATAATATGTTTTATATAAGATATGAATTTCAAAGATTTTGTTTTATTTCATTTTGAATACAATGAGGTATCTATATATATACTCTATATTGTGTTTGTAAACTCATTTTGGTCACATATCCATTTTTTAATCTGCATCTTATTTGAGATTTCAAATTTTTATCGACAATCATATATGATCACATCGGCATTTGGAGATACTGATCTTGTATCTCCAAATATCGATGTGATTATTGTATTTAATTGTATATTGACCAAGAGATTCCGATGCAGAATATTCAAAGTAGATAGTTTTTCCATTCTGTACACATAGGTGCAGGGTCTATCACTGGCACCCTGCACCTATATGTGCAGAATGGGAAAAGCTTGCACTTTTACCTTTCGATGCGAATGTGTCAAACACTTTTCCCATTCTGCACATATATATGCAGGGTCTATCACTGGCACCCTGCACCAATATGTGCAGAATGGGAAAAGCGCGCACTTTTGTTCTTCGATGCGAATGTGTCGGACATAATTCCTGATTTGCACATATATTTGCAGGGTCTATCACTAGGACCCTGCACCTATATGAGCAAATCAGGAATTGCTTGCACTTTTTGCTCGCGATGTAAATGTGTCAGACACAATTCCTGATTTGCTCATATATTTGCAGGGTCTATCACTAGGACCCTGCACCTATATGAGCAAATCAGGAATTGCTTGCACTTTTTGCTCGCGATGTAAATGTGTCAGACACAATTCCTGATTTGCTCATATATTTGCAGGGTCTATCACTAGGACCCTGCACCTATATGAGCAAATCAGGAATTGCTTGCACTTTTTGCTCGCGATGTAAATGTGTCAGACACAATTCCTGATTTGCTCATATATTTGCAGGGTCTATCACTAGGACCCTGCACCTATATGAGCAAATCAGGAATTGCTTGCACTTTTTCACTTGAATGTGATTCATTGAATTTCAATTCGAGAAAGGAGTTTACAAATGCAGGGTAAAGGGACAATACCCTGCATTTATTAACTCCTTTCTTGTAAAACCTTCCTTCAAAAAAATATAAAGATCACATTCTTCTTAAAACTCTCAAAATCTCATTATTTCAATCTTATAATCATAAATAAACATACTCTTTCTATCTAATATTTCTCTATTCCTTAATTTTCTTATGAAATTTGCTATTTTTTATTTAATTTTTAAAATTTTCAATTTTTTTGGATAATTTTATTCAATTTATGATAATTTATTCTATTCTCATTATATAATAATATTGTTCATTTTTATTTTTTTTAATTTTCAATGCATACGATAATTTTTAATTCAATTTTTAAACGAATGTTTTGATGGGATGAGCTTACTGAGCATAGGCTCATCCCATCAAAACATTCCCTTAAAAACTCTGGCCTTCATCGAGGCCAGAGTTTACAATTCATCAGCTCAGAGCCAAGTTCCTCGACGGTCGTCCTCATTAGGCACGATCCGAGAGAACTTGGCTCTTCATTAAAATCACAAGCTCTGGCCATTGCTAAGGCCAGAGCTTCGCAAACCATCCTCGGGCCGGTTTCCTCAAAGACGCCCTGATTCGGGCGGCCGGAGAGGAAACCAGCCCCGAGAGAGTTCCCATACGAAGCTCTGGCCCAAGCAAAGGCCAGAGCCTGCAAATACAATCCTCAGGGCGAGTTTTGCGATGATCGTCGATCATGTCGACGGTCTCGCAAGAACTCGGCCCTGAAAGACATACAAATACAGGCTCTGGCCCTAGAAAAGCCAGGGCTTCGCTTACTGTCCTCAGGGCCGGCTTTCTCAAATGCCGTCCTGATCTAGGGCGGCAGGAGAGGAATCCGGCCCTGGGAACATCCAAATACGAAGCTCTGGCCCAAGCAAAGGCCAGAGCCTGCAAAATACTCAATGTTCAACAATTACAAATCTCATGTCACCCAGAAAGCTATGAAGGAAGCCCTTTCTCTAGGTTAGGACTTCCTTCATAGCTTTCTGGTACTGAGTGGAGTGGTTTTGGCTTCCATTGCCGCTCACTCCAGTAAGATCACGAGATTGTACAAAAGCCACGGCAAGTGCATTCCAACACCATAAATACACTTGCCGTGGAATACGGTTGCGAGTGCCTGCTGCTTCAACCGAGATTTGCAGCAGACACTCGCAATGATAACTAAAATTCATCATAAAGCTGGGAAATGAGCCTTTTCTCAAGGTCAAAGCCCATTTCTCAGCTTTATGATATTGAAACGAATATTTTGAGAGGTTATTACTGTTTTTCCCGGAATCATCTTGAGATTCCGGGAAAGTCATAGCAAGTGTAATCTATTAGCATAGATACACTTGCTATGACACATATATGCCAGCATCTGTGCTTACCCCCAAATAAGTAGCAGATGCTCGGCATCACATCTTGAGATCCTTATTATCTGCGTATTTTTCATTTTAATATATAAAATGTGTGTGTCTAACACAAGTCTATATGCGCCATGTAAAAATATACACTAATACACACATATTGATCATAATTAATAATATCAAACTATAAAAACTGAGATATTACTATAAACTATATGTATTATTATTATATAGGTACCATATTATAAGGTCATATGAATATTATTGAAATTAGACACACTTTATATAATTTTATAATGTGAATAACTTGGGTCATAATTTTTTTACGTAATTCCTACACGAAATGATCGGCATTACCCTAGTCTATCTGCGTGCAAAATACCAAGGAACAAATCAAATACTCACCATATCTTTTTTAAAAAGGTCCAATCGGTGTATGGCGATTTTCACCTCACATGGCACAACCCCCTTCATTTCTTATTCTAAAATCTCTCTTTTCATCGTAGTAGTAACCCTGTAGTACTTCACAGCTGATACCCTGATATTTTATTAAATCTTGTAAAGTGATATGGTCCACGTACATTAAACAGCATGTGTTTGAACTTCTTGGAACAGTGGCTTTGTCATTGACTTTGTCCATGGTGCTTTGCATCTTTAATTCTGGGTTTAATTCTGGATCGACTGTTATAAGTGGAAAATGTCTTTTAATCTTGATATCAGTTATTTTTATTAAAACAAAAAATCCAGAAATGAATTTATCACCTTCTGGCTCGCCCTGGTCATCATCGAATAAATGCTTCATAAGATATTCAGAACTTAACATTTCTTTCTTCATAACCTTTGGAATTCCTTCTAAAGTATAAAGTCTCGCGATAGCGGATGGATATAGTGAGACAGCATCGAAGTCAGCAATGAGTTTCTTTTCGCTCTTTTGTTTCTTATTATCAGCTAACATACATCTTCCACCTTGAATACAGCGTGAAATAAATTCTCTTGGTTTATTTGAAGGTCATATAAATTTCCATTGGGAATAACTCTTTTCGAAAAGTTTTTAGCAATTGAACAAATGCTAACGTAATCATAAACGTTTAAATCAAATTTTTTTAATATAGCATTTCTGAACTTAACGAAACCTTCTCTTAAAATCCTTACGTCCTGTTTACAGTAAAATGAGCTATATTTTTCTAAATCGAAATGGTTTTCATCTATTCTGCAGTTTTCGATTAAATCTATGTTTTTCATGAACGTTTCAACATCTTTTACAAACTTACATGCTTCAGAAATGACACCGGTTCTGTTATCATTAACTAATAAAGAACTTGAATAATATTGATACGGAAATACTTCCTTGGGTCCAGTTTGTAAATGAAACATTTCAGGAAATAGTTTAAGCTTCTTATTTATAACAGTGTATGAATCTTTTATAATGATTGCTTCACCTTTATATATTCCCGTTATCTGCATTGTTCTAGAACCCTTAATAATTGGTGTACCACTGATTTCTGTTAAATGTCTTAAAATGAAATTGATATCATAACTGAGGTTATGAAAATATATTAAACTTTTATCAGAAATTCTTTCTAAAAATTCTGTTGCACAATTTTGACCCCAAATGCTTTCGCTAATCTTTCCATCTTCACTATCATAACAAATGTTAAACGCTTTATGAACTCCATCAGTGCTACATTCAAAGTCAGCGAAGAAAATGTGTTCAGGAATGAATTTTTGTTTTGATTTATCACTATCTTTACTTTCAGACTTTTTCTTTAACTGAACACAGTATTTAGGAGTATAATTTAAATCTTTAAACGGTGCGAGATTTTGTTTATATAAATCTGTTGCATAAGTGAAAAGTTCACCATAAGATAAAGGTTCAAAGTAATTGCACTCTCTTAATGTTTTCAAAATATCCCATAAAGGAGTTGTTCGTGAAGAATCAATTATAAATCTATTTTCTCTTCTCTTATATATTTTCATTTGACGCTCGATATTCCAGCCGCCTAATGATTTGAGAATTTCGTTATAATTTTTGATAAAATATGTTGTCAGGTAATCTTTCATTTAACATGTAATGGTCTTCAACAAGAAGTATGTCAATAGTTCGAACAGTTTCACATTCTTTTGGTATATATCTCTTTATTTCATTATGTCTAGAGTCATTGAAATAACCAATGGTAACATTAAATGCTATGCCTGTTGCGTTAGAAATTTCCTGAATCTTACTTTGTGGAAAATCTCTAACTCTAATGACTTCACGCATGTGGTCTACCGTCTGCTCATCAACTCCAGCCTGAATGCAAGCATAAACGAAGCAGTTATCTTCTGTCATCAACTTAGCAGTTTTTTTTAAGTTCATTGAAAATTTGATAGCGTTCAAGATTTATAGGTAATCTGCAAATATATTTCCAAAACTCACCGCTTCTCTTTTTATTCGTTCTCTTTTCATCAAGAATTTCATTCCAAAAATCATCTATATCCTGTTTATCACCTATTTCTTTAAGCCTGTTTAATAATCTTTGCTGA